GGGCAAGGTAGGAGGCTTAAAATTTCTGCAAATAATTCACAATTATCTAATGCTAAATTACCCTCCGCAGCAGTCTGTCTCCAATCTCCGTTCCTGTTTATTTTGGCCAATGATACATCACAGGGGATGCTTAATTGTTCTAATACTACCTGCTATTTGTCTGAGTGTTGGAATGGCTCCTGGACTACGGCAGTGGTTATGAAAGTTCCGACCTTTGTCCCGATTCCGGTTACTGCAGATCCAGAGTCTTTTCCTATTGTTGAACTGATTAGAGCCCGTAGAGATTTTGGAATTACGACAGCTATAGTGACAGCTGTGGCGGTATCTGCTGTTGCAGCGGTTACAGCCGGAGTAGCCATGGCCAGCCAGGTACAAACTGCTGCCACTATTAATCAGGTTATTCAACAAACATCCACTATACTTGAATCTCAAAGTAGAATTAATCAACACATTTTATCTGGGATTCTGGCTGCTAATCAAAGGATAGATCTGCTTCAAGCTCAAGTTGAGGAGTTGTCTGATCTAGTACATTTGGGTTGTGTCGATCAACGTGCGCATTTATGTATAACCTCTGTCAGATTTAATGATTCCAGAAATGCCTCCCGCATCTTCGGGGAGTATCTATCCGGAACCTGGTCCATGGAAGCAGAAAACTTGATCCAGTCTCAACTAACTCAGATTGCTGTTTTGAATAGCACCCGTGTCGAACCAGTGACTTTGGGTCAATTCACCAGTTGGCTATCCTCTGCCTTTTCCTTCTTTAAGGAATGGGTGGGAGTGGGCATTTTTGGGGCAATGTGTTGCTTCGGTGTTGTACTTTGTTTGTGGCTTCTCTGTCGCCTTAAAATTCGCCATGCGCAAGAAAAGGCTATGATTGTACAGGCTCTTGCGGCCTTAGAAAATGGCATTTCTCCACAAATCTGGCTTACACATCTTAAACAGTGATTTTCTGGGCAGGGCCATTGCACCCCAAGTTAGTTTCACATTGCACTGGGATTGGCATGTCCTCTTCCTTATTCTCTCCCAGTGCTGAATAGCCCTTGCACTCTGCAGGTCTTGTTACCATTGCACGCAGATGGGTTTCAGGACTGGTTTTTCTTCTCGGCTACAGACTCTTTACCTTACTCTGGGGCTTAGGGATTGTGTTGCCAACTTAAATTTTGTTATTATTACCAGGCTACCTGTGTTATCCTACTTCTCGCCGTCGTCACGATGCAGGATGCGAGGCAAAGCACTGCACTTGAGTGATCCCTCAACGGACCTCAAGGAAAGCATGTCCTATTGCATGCGGGTTTGACGTCCACGCCCCGCCCTACGAAAAAAGGCGTCGGCTGATATGGGATCAGGTCTGGGGAAGGCGCCTCCTTAGGACTGGACCATACATTGCAGCCACTTCTGCACAGTGGGATAGGACCTCTACTTTCGCCTGCATTGTTATATAAAGTAAAAGGGGGAACTGTGGTAAGCCATTGTTATAGATCGTGGCCGCCATTAGAAGATGGCGCCGGCTTCCACTGTGGCCTGTGGTAAACAACTCCTTTTATGGAGAGTTGGCACGCAATCCCTTACCACCCTATGAGAGAGATCCACGTGGCGGCTTAGGATTGGGATGCGGGGGGCTTTATTATGCTGTGCTTGGGTGTGTCGGGCGCGGGCGCTAGAAGATGATACATGACTCAAGGCCTGAATAAACTGTTGAAAGAAGAATCCTGTGTCGTGTTTCCCTGGCTGGCGAGGGGTCGCGACACTGGTTGATTGGAAAGATCAGGTAACAAAATCAAATATATATCTTTAGATCTGTGCATATTTTTGTCATTTAATTTTCAAATTAAGTTTCTTTTACTTTCACATTTCAAATATAACAGTAACAATAATTATTCACAATTGGGAAATTATTCTGTCAGAGTAAAGACTTTTAATTACAAGGTTTAAGACACTTCCAGAATGAGTTTAATATTCATGGAGCAAATTTCGGTCACTGGAATATAATACCAGAAAGATTATATACAGGCCCATATAAGTCAGAGAGAGAGGCCTTTGCACAGGTGTGAACTACTGGCTCTGGAAGACCAAGGGGTGTGATGACCCTGCACTGCCAACAAAGGCCATGGATGGAAGGCACTGGACACACTGCCTGGACCATAGAAATGATCCACAGTACACGTGGGCCACCGCAAACACATAAGCTGGCTGCTCCGTCTGTGACCACCACAATTACCAGTGAATAAAATTAGGGCTGGTAAGCACAGTCATAATACCAAGAAATTAACAATTCTAAAAAACAATTTTCCCCATTAATTCAACTGCTTGGTTTACTAAGGCATAACATTTAAATGCAGACTCAGAAAAACTAAAAATATCTCAACACCTTATTTTTCTAATTATCTCCTTTTCCCATAGGCTATATTTCATTTCAGTCAAATCAAAATTAAATCTGAATTTTAACATAGGAAAAGCAATTCAAAGCACCATTCCCTGGTGATTTCAATTAATTCCATCATACTCTACATACAAACAGTGAACACTCTTCCATGAGGGACTGGCAATTCAACTTGCTCCCTTGTTCTCCACAGAAGCATCTAGTTTTATGTTCTCTAGCTTACCTGAAAGCTAAACTGGGTGTGGATCAGCTGGGATTACCTAGCTGGCGCGGCTGTTGCTGCTTCTGGACAACCCCACTGTCCACCTCTAGTGGGGACGCCAATGGAGCGTCTGCAAATCCAAGAAGTTCTGAGAGGCTCTGCACAGGCACGGCGGACAGGTAAGTGTCTCAAAAACATTTTCATACCTAGTTCTTTTTTAAAATTTTGTTTTAGTTATAGGTAGACACAATACCTTGACTTTATTTAATTTATATGTGGTGCTGACCATTGAACCCAGTGCCTCACACACGTGAGGTGAGTGCTCTGCTGCTGGGCCCCAGCCCCAGCTCCTAGTTCTGTATTTCAATTGATGGTTTAATCAGCATTTAAAGGAAAGAGGAGAGCAAAGTCCATGTTCTCTTAGGCCACACCAGTCTAGGGATAAAGGAGATGAAAGAAGTTTGTAAAGGCCAACAGGAGCTGCCCCTTCACTCTGCTCCACTCTGGTGCTGGTCCGGCCCTTATGACACTTGGCCTCCAGCTCCATTCAGAGCTCAGCTGCCGCCGACCTTCAAGAGATGGGCCTCCGGTGTTCATGCAGATGTTAACCTTCTGGGGATGCTTTGAGGACCTAGGAAAAGTAATGAAATGCTACACAGAGAACACAGAATTTTGCACACAATGTGAGGAATGAGGGAACCATGAACCCCCCAAAACCTATCAGTGAATTCCAGTTGTGAGCCCTAGACATGAGTTTTTCACAGGAAGGCTCCTTGCTCTCACGTGAACTGAGTGAACTCAGCCAGACACAGACCCAGGAAAACATCAAGGTGTGTACTTGCCAGGTATGATCCCTGCTCATGCTGTTGGCCAGAGGAGAACTGGCTACAAGGAAGGAGAAGCACTGTGGGTGCAGAAGAGAAAAAGCAGGGGTGGGGACAGGTCATGCACAAGGCAAACACCATTTTCAGGAAAAGAAAACACACACACTTTCCAGTGGGGTTCCCAATTGGCTCTCTTCCCAGTGCATGGTTCCTGCAGCCTGCAGATGGGGATGGAGACGATGACTCAAAGGTAGAGCAGAGCACAGTGAAAGCAGACAGACAGACCTCTAGTAGACCTTGGACTCGCAGCTCCACATTTGCAAGGCTGTGGCAGGGCCATGGTGTGGAAAAGCAGGTCCCTGGGGACCATGTGGCTGCTTTCTCCCCATGTATACTGAGAACTAAATTCTCTTATTTTCATGACTCCTGTCATCTGTAATTGTCTAAAACAACTCTTCTCATTGACAGGGTTTCCTGCAGCCTTTCCTCTACTTGCACTCCACACATACTGGACTGGACTCCTCTGGCTCTTCCTCTGGCTGTCACTGCCTCATCCTGCAGCTGGTGAGCTGCACTCTGCACCCCATAGCAGCACCCCTGTGGTACCTCTGCAATAGGATGTCTTGGGTCTCCTCCAAGCACCAAGGCCAGGTGCTGGACCTGATGATGCCCCATAGCATACCCTTCTGCATGAATGAAGGTGGGCGTTGGCCAGTGACTTCCACAGTCCTTGGGGGTCTGACCTGGCTATTCCCCCCAAACTCCCAAGACCACCCACTTTTTCACTCTGGCAACACCCAAGCCCTGCGCTTCCTCCGCCTTCACTATGCTATGGTGCTATGGTGCATAGGACTGCTCGCTGCCCCACCCTTCTCTGCACTAACCACACAAGAACAATCCTCCCACGGCCCTTTGCAGGCCTTTCCCCTAACTCTCAACACACAGCCTTCTCGTTACACTGCCATGCTTACAGTGTCCAAGCCTTTCCCTGTAAATCCATTCCTGTTGGCCCCTGACCAGGCGAGGGTCAACCCATGGGCACCTGAGGGGGAGCAGTTAGTGTCAGGCTACCACTACCCTTGAAGGCCCCCTCAGGCACTTTGGGGCAGCCAACCCCTCCCACCCCCCCACTTCTACCCCTGCCCACAGGTGGAGGCAGCCTCCTGTCCTTGCTGGCACCTGAGAGGACTCACCCAGCCACCACCATCACAGCCAGGACAGAGACTGTATTTTTTTTTTTTTCTTTTTTGTATTTATTTTTCTACAGAAAGAATATAATGCCTGACTAAATTCTGTTGAACTGAATCACTTAAAATACTACAAATTCAACACAGAAGATGTTATTGTTTTTCCCAAGGATGGGTTTATTTCAAATTTTAAAGATATATACACATATATTATTTTTATTACATGTAATAAGCAATTTTAAGCTTATAGTAAAAAGTTTCACATTTTTAAAGTTTTTTAAAAAAAAGGGATGTCTTAAAAACATAGACACTTTTAAAAAGCCAAATAAGCTAAGGATTTCTCACAGCACAGATTTCTCCCTTAAATATTCACATTTTTAAAAGATTTAAAAAACTGGCTAAAATTATTTAAAATTGGCAATGATTAAAATCTCTTTATCTTTGGAAGAGCATGTTAATGATACAGCAAAGTTAAAGCTAGGCACATTTAGCTTTTTAACAGTGTGTGGTCTGACCAGTACGCAGAAGGGCTTACGCTGTCCTGTGGTTGTTGCTGGAGTGACCACTGCACCAGGAACAGTGTGCTTCACTAGCAAGGGACTCTCAGCATCCCAAGGTGCTTTTCCAGGAACAGTTTCTGATTTTCAACTTAGAAGAGAAGAGCAGCATTTAAGTACTGCATCCCTGTGACAAGAGGAAGGAAAGCGCAGAGAATGTAACCAGTCTGCTCCAGGTTTCCCTGCCAAACTTTCAGTTGCCTTTCTACAATGGGCTTGGTGGGCTCCAGCACGTTGATCAACTACACGGTTTTGAATATCAGTTAAAATCAAAAGCTGAGACTTAAATATTTTGCTAACTTTTAAAATGTTATTTAGAAAATCTTTACCAGCACATATGCTGATTTTAACTCGAAGAAATAAATATAAATACCAAAACTGACAAAAGAATTAACTTTTAAAAAGAACGAAGAAACTGGATTTTAAAAGCAAAATGCTTATTATTGCATCTTAACAATTCCCAAACTTTCACACTTTTATAACCATATGTTTGAACTCCTACTTAGAATGTCTATTCATTTTTTAAAAACCCTTTTACCTAGACTGTTTAATTTTTTAAAAAAATTGTTTTAGGGCTGGGGATGTGGCTCAAGTGGTAACACGCTCGCCTGGCATGCGTGCGACCCAGATTCGATCCTCAGCACCACATACAAATAAAGATGTTGTGTCCGCCGAAAACTAAAAATATTAAAAATTCTTTTTCTCTCTCTTTTAAAAAAAATTTTTTTTACTACTTTTTTAGTTGTCATTGGACAATTATTTATATTCAGTGCTGAGAATCGAACCTAGTGCCTCACATACGCTAGGCAAGTGCTCTAACACTGAGCCATGGCCCCAGTCTAGACTGTTAAAATTTACAATAATAAAATCTGAGGCTTCTCTTGCATATTATTTTCCAGTGCAGGATCCTAACTCCTTGGGAAGGGGTGGGTCATTTTCCAGAAGCTGTGCCCTGTCTATGCATTCTCATGCAAGGCAGGGGTGGACAGTACCTCTCAAAACGGAGAGGCTCCTAGCCAAGTTGCTGAAGTACAATTACCACGTGGACCCTGTTCTACAGTCTTCTCATCTGTAAGTGACTCTTCTGCTTTTTCTCTTTTTTTAAAGTGGAATAAAAATTTAAAAATAGAAATTCTACCAATTCCCTTCACTGTTCATATTAGGTATATAATTTTGCTGGCTTTTAAAATACATAGGTTTCCAAATTTTACAAAGAAACAAAGCCATGCCTCACCAGAACATTTTTCTTTTTTTTTTTATTGATTTAAAAAAAAATGACAGCAGAATGCATTACAATTCTTATTACACATATATACCACAATACGGGTATACAATTTTTCATATCTCTGTTTGAATATAAAGTATGTTGACACTCAATTAGTGTCTTCATACATGTACTTTGGATAATAATGATCATCATATTCCACCATCCTTGCTAATCCCCTGCCCCCTCCCTTTCCCTCTCACCCCTCTGCCCTATCTAGAATTCATCTATTCCTCCCATGCTCTCCCTCCCTAACCCCCTATGAGTCAGCCTCCTTATATCAGAGAACACATTCGGCATTTGGTTTTTTGGGATTGGCTAACTTCAATTAGCATTATCTTCTCCAATGCCATCCATTTACCTGCAAATGCCATGATTTTATTCTCTTTTATTGTTGAGTAAAATTCCATTGTGTATATATGCCACATTTTTTTAATCCATTCATCCACTGAAGGGCATCTAAGTTGGCTCCACAGTTTAGCTATTGTGAATTGTGCTGCTATAAACATTGATGTGGCTGTGTCCCTGTAGTATGCTGTTTTTAAGTCCTTTGGGTATATATAGTCCAAGGAGAGGGATAACTGGGTCAAATGGTGACCAGAACCTTTTTCTAAATCTATCAAGTTGAAGGCTGGAATTAGTTTTGTTTTTCTTCCCCAACTAAAACTAATATACTGCTCTGGAAAATGTTAGGAATTAACTGTCATCTCTTGACATGCAGATTACAGATGTTTCTGCTGCTAAAAACATCTATATATCATATGCCATTTTCTAGTAACTTTCCCATTTTGTTCAAAAGCAGAATATTTTTTACCAGAGTCTCTGCATCCTACTTACTGAACATGCAGAGCTATAGAAGGATCCAGAATCTCTTGTAAAAATTCCCTTACTGAGAAAGTTCATGAGGTAAGATAGGAGTAAATTTCCAGCCTGAAGAACGCATCAACAGAGATACTTTATATGACAACCTTCTTTTTATTTCTATAAGCAAAAACGTAGCCAAAGACAACTGAAAAAGTTCTTAAACAATGTTTTAATATAAAAATTATTTAAATTTATGTATTTGTGTAAAAATAGTTAAAGGACCAGAAAGAATAAGACAGAATTCAAACAAACTCACCTTGCATATGGGATGTACGACAGACTATACCTGCAAGAAAAATTCAATATGTTGACACTTGTTCTACATCATAGCTTCCTTTGTGCCAAGTGGCAATGGCTAGCACCATGACCAGCATGGCAGCAGAATACTATATCATGGTTCTCAAGATGTGAGCTCAGAACATCAGCAGCACCATCTGAGAGCTTGTTAAGGCATAAATCACTAGCTGGGAGATGTGGTGACTTGAAAGGCTGAGGCAGGAGGATCAAGTTCAAGGCCAGTCTCAGCAATTTAGTGAGGCATATCTCAAAATAAAAAATAAAAAGGGCTGAGGATATAGGTCAGTGGCAAAGTTCCCCCTGGGTTCAATCCCCGGTACAGGGAGGGGGCGGTGGGGTGTGGATCACGAGGCCCCACTGTGACCTCCTCAATCACAAGATTGCTTTATCAAGCATTCTGTGCTTTCTCTGTCTGTAAGACCAAACCCAGGGCCTTAAGCAAGCTGGGTGAGCCTCTACTACTGAGCTACGCGCCCAGACCAACATTAACAAAAACTCCCTAGATGATTCTGATGCATACTGAAGTTTGAGCTTCTTATAATAAAAAAGTTATTCTCTTAAGTTATTTTTTAAAAAAATAGGAACTTGTAAAATAACAATGTTAATTATGTTTTCCTTTGGGGATGAATCAATTATTGAGTATAGATTAGATAATACAAGGTAGAATATTAGAGAAAATAAGAGATTCAATTAAATTTCTTCAGATTCTAATGAAAAAGTAAAATATAACACTATATATAACAGCATAGTTATTTTGAAATATGTAGAGAACGATATTTAACATTCATTGATGTTAAATCTATCAGGGAAGGATGGGAATTAGGCCAAAACAATGACTGATCCCAGGATGGGTGACAACAAACAGGAGATCTGAAACAGCTGAACTAGGAAGGGGTTACGACAAGCAAGACAGGGCTTTAAAAGAACAAGAAAAGCACTCTAATCCATCCAACACAGAAGAGGCAAGGAGCTAGCCTTAGGGACACCTTTAAGCAGACAACATGTACTGCCCGCCTGCAGGAAGATGAGCTGCAGGGCTGGGGATGTGGCTCAAGCGGTAGTGTGCTCGCCTGGCATGCGTGAGGCCTGGGTTCGATTCTCAGCACCACGTACAAACAAAGATGTTGTGTCCGCCGAAAATTAAAAAAAAAAAAAAATATATTAAAAAATTCTAAACAAAAAAAACAAATAAAAATAAAAAAAAAGATGAGCTGCAGTGCAAGACACACAAGGGTTGCAAGGAGAGTCTGACCAGGAGAAGGGCACCTCAACATTCAGAGAAGAGGGAGAAGAAACTTCCAGGAAAGACACAGCTCAAAAGCAGTTCTTAACAAGTAACATAATCGCTGCCATGTAGAGGAAAACTCCAGCCTTTACGGGGCCATACGGGAATAAATTCTTCCTGTGACTGATCACCCAGCAACAGGGAGCAGAATGCCCAGTAAACTGATCCTCCTGGGCGTGTCCCGCATTTCGCCTTTTTGATGGATCCATGTGACATCCCCTACATTTCTTATTTTTCTTTCATGGAACGCACTGCTCTGTAACTTCGTGAGAACACTCCCACTCCCCGCCCACTACCAGTGTACCAACTCCACAGCTCTCCCAAGGTACCACTGAAGCATGCTGTCAAGAACAAAAGGATTCACCCCAAACCTCCGTTCCCTTGGTCTTGCAGGAGATCTGGTTCCATAGCATATGCTTCTAACCCCCATTTTTAGGGCGTTACAGGTTCCAAACAAAATGTTTATAACATTTCAAGTCACTTTAGCTTTTTAACTAGTGTAATAAAAGACTTACCAGGTCATTGATAAGAACTGCAATATGCAGAATAGTAAGGCCAGTCCCTTCTTATGCCACTAACGATAGCAAAAACAGAGAATGGTGAGTTCAAATTTTTAAAAAATACTTTGTACAATTAAGTTCAATTCTTCTTCCCCTTTAAAATGTAGATATTTTATTTTCTTTATTAAATTGTAGTCTGATTTAAGAAACTTAAATATCCATAAAGTATATTTCCTTTCAAAAAGTGTCTTTAACTATTAATTTAAATACTGCAAAATATATGACATTAAATAAACTTCACTAAAATAGTTGTGCACAGGCTGAAAATATAAAACTTTTAAAGGTTAGGTCTTTGACATTAATGTCAACTTTTCCAGAATCAATATTTAAAATCCCACTTAGTTAAATTCATATTTCTTGTGGAATTTACTTACTCATTCCCCTTGCTCCTTTTGAATGATTTTTTTGAAGGAGAACTGTATATTACTATGATCTTCTGGAATATAAATAGTTCCATGGGTGCATTAAAATAATCTATTTTGACAATTTCTTGACTATCGTTATTTTTATTTTTTACTTTTTTGTGGTACTGGGGTTGAGCCCAGAGCCTTGAGTAAGCTAAGCAAATGCTTGATCACCAAGCTACACTTCTATCCTTATAATTATTTTTTTTATTTACTTATTGCGAATCTTTTTACAAGCAGGCTGCTATACTATTCCAAAAATAGGAAATCAGTTTTCCCCAGGGATGTGCAAAAATTATTTAAGAACATTCTTAGCTGGGCACAGTAGCACATGCCTGTAATCCCACTGGCTCGAGAGGCTGAGACATTGCAAGTTCAAAGCCAACCTCAGCAACTTAACAAGGCCCTAGGTAACTTAGCAAGACCCTATATCTCAAAATAATTTCTTTTTAAAGGGCTGGGGATGTAGTTCAATGGTTAAGCATCCCAGGTTCAATCCCTGGTACCAAAAGAAAAAAAAAATTCTTTTATTTTTGGAAAATGAAGTCTAGAAGGCATCTCATATAACTAAAGCCAGTCTTAAATGCTCAGAATAAAAAAAGAAAATCAGAATTTTTTTGGTGGGGTGGCGGGGGGTAACTGGGCATTGAACCCAAGGGTGCTTAACAACTGAGCCACATTCCCAACACTTTTTATTTTGAGACAAGATCTCACTAAGTTGCCCAGACTGGCCTTGAACTTGCGATCCTTCTACCTCAGCCTCCCAAGACACTGGGATTATAGGCATGTACCACCATGACTGGCTTTATAGAATATTTCTTTTTTTCTTTTTTGTACCGGGGATTAAACCCAGGGGTGCTTAACCACTGAGCCACATTCCCCAGTCCTTTTTTGTATTTTTTAGAGACAGGGGTCACTGAGTTGCAAAATACCTTGCTAAGTTGCTGAGGCTGGCTTTGAACTTGTGGGATCCTCCTGCTTTAGCCTCCTGAGTCATTGGGATAACAGGTGTGTACCACTGCACCCAGCTAGAATATTTCTAAAATATATTATACAATACCCTTTCTTTTTAAAATGTGATGTTTTCTTGACCACTCGAGAACTGCCTCAAAATCTCTTGGGAAGGAGGCAAAGGATTGTAAGTAAAGAAATATAATGAAGAATCAGGCACACCAATAAATAAAATGAATTGTTATAATTTCTTCAAGAGCTAATGAAGAGCTGCTTGCTTACTCACAAGTGGTACAGGAGTGACTGAGACTCGGCTGTTCCTTGTTGCTAATGTTCTGTTCTCCAGGCCTCTCTACTATTGGCCTGCCTACCTGTCATTCATCACTGCACTTGCTCACTGCTGCTTCCTCCTGTACCAGCATGAAAAGCACAGCCCATGTACAGCAGAGGACCCAGGCATCTGCCTGGGCCTCTCCCCATCCAGGTGTGGTCAGAGGCATCAACACAGCCTAAGTGTAAGTGCACACAAGGGGACCCACTTGTTAACAACCTCCTCTATCTATCTTATGGGCAGCAGTATCTACCTTATGTCCAGCCAACTAGATGTTGCCAATTCATGTTTTAAGAACACCTGATCTTTGGTAGGTCCTAAGAAACCGAACTTGGGAGTCATTTTGAGATGATGATGTAAGAACACCTCAGGTACAGCGGGGACAGTTGGCAGAAAGCTAGCAATCTGATGCAACTTACCCAAAGGGCGGCACACAGGGTGAATATGAGGCAGAGCTACAGGAAGGGAAGATAAGTAATAAATGTGAGATCTTCAAAGTCTAATAAAAACACACTGACTACCTTGCATTCACTTGCATAGGCAATATATCTTACAACTAAAACAATGAGACAGCGGACTAGTTTTACACATATCTTCCACGACTATTCTTTTACTTGAAGTCCCTGACTGCAATACTCCTTGGCACAGTAAAGCACCTAATAAATGTTTGATTAAACTGAAAGAACTTTTGAGGTTTAAGAATATTTAGAATGACAAAAAGCTATTCTTATGCTCCTATTAAAATTTAATAACAGTGCCAATGGTTAGCATTAGCACAACTGGCAGTACATAGTAAGTTCAACTGTATTGAATTTTACATAGTGACCCTAATATTTTTTTTCATACAAAAGATTACATTATCATTCCACATCCTCATGAAAGCAACTTCAGCCACCCTATGTTTTCACAAGCAGGCTGGAGGTCTAAGCTAGAGACCTAAGGGACCCTAGTTCTGATACCTATAACCTAGGACGGGTCCTTGCTAACCAGTGGGCCCATCTAGACGTTTTCTTCTCTTTAAAGAGGTGCACCTATCCACCTGCTCAAAATATTAGAAGGATTTTCTGTGACACACCTGACATAGGGCTGGCAGGCATAGGGGGCTGAGTTAGAAACAAATCTCCATGTCAATAGCGAGCTAGACAGGTTGAGCTGTTCCACAATGTGTCACACGGAGCTATGGTCCCTTGGGGGATACTTGCTGCAGTCTAACATTCTCTTCACTGCATGTGTTGGTTTAAGGTATACTACTAAAACTGTTAATCATAAATGCCAGGATATTGTAAATAAAACAAATCCAAGCAAAATCTTAGTGGAATAAAAACATCCTGTAGTCTAACAGTAGGAGATAGTTTCCTAGTAACTTAGGTAAAGTTAAATGCTAAGACATATGTTGATATAAATGCTAATATAGGACATTCAAAACAACTGGAAGAGTTATAAAAATGATAATAAAAAGCATAAAGTTGAATAAAGAAGCTAAAAATGAGTTGTATTTGAAAAGCTAATGTTAACAGTTAAAAGTAAAGTAACACTTATTGGCTAATGCTTATGTTTAAATTCTTTAAATAGCACAAATGTTTTAAGTAAAAAAAATATATATATATATATAAGAGAAGCAGAATAGATAAGCTCGAACCAGAGGCAGGATGATGAAGTGGAGGAAGGGTTCCTCTACCCATCTCACACAAAACACTCATTTTCAGCTAAAATTCAAAATGTACGATGATGGAAACTTTCTGACTATAAGTGTGGCTTTCATACCCCCCACCCCTGGTTTAAGATAAAGAGAACATGTCATTTAAGAGTGATGACTGATAGGAACAGAACCCCCAATGCAATGAAGGGCAACTTAAAGGTGCGGTCACAGAAGCCATATTAGCAGAATTATTTGTCCACTAGTAAATAGGGAAGGGACAAAAACCAAACGACAAATATGCTAATTCTACCTGAGAGGTAGACTCAGAAGTCACCTGTCTTCTACTCCTAACCCTCCAAAGATTACAGACCATCCAACAATCTATAGGCTTGAAAATGAAAACATACCCAGCTCCAGTCTTTGTTATAATTATAATTACAGAGCTACAAAAATAGTAAGCAGGCTTCTTCAAGCCAATAACTTTAGACAACACTCTATAATTCAAATTCTTTAACAACACGGCCTTGAGGACATAATAATGAAAAACACTACAACATACGTTTTTTAAAACTGCCAATATTTACTTACAAGCATAATGACTGTTGCAAGTACTCTAGTTTTTTCAAACATTTTCTTTAGCTGCTTCACAGGTCCCATTAAAAAGCACGTACTATTTGGGAAAAAAATAACAGAGATCACGTTCATTTGTCTGGCTAAACAAAAATAAACTTTTAAAAAAAGAAACCTTGTTAGCTCTCTCCCTCAATCTGTTTTGCTTTTCGTTGATTTTACAGGACACTTGCCAATTCTTCCAGCAGATAAACTACAGTCTGTGCCAACAACTCCACTGCATCATGAGAGGTGAGGAGGCCTGGGCCGCTCCCTGGAGCAAGAGTAGGGTGCAACAAACAAGTGTCCCCAGAGGCTTGCTTTTCCATTCTCCTACCATGTGAGGGAGGGGAAGGGGGCATTCACCCCGCCCCCCACAGGATGTGGCCTTCACCAGACAACTGAACCCTAGCCCTTGGGCTTCCTAGCCCTTGAAGTTATAGGGAATAAATGTCTGCTTTCATAAATTAGGAAACCTCAAACCCCAACCTAATACAGCTACCCTGTCATTGCTGGGGCACCAATTTTATGTTCTCTGCCCTGTACCAACAACTTCAGATCTTTTTCTGGCTTACTGTGTGATTTTTCCCTCATAAAACCCAAGCTCCACAAGAGAAGAACTACAGCATAGCCACTACAAGCCTGGGCTCTGGAGCCCTGTGTCTGCCCCAGGCAACTTATCAAATGGTGAGCAAGTGACCTGCCCCCTCTGCACTACCATCTCCAGCTAAATACGATACTGGTACCTGCCCCATAAACCTGCTATCCTGACACCATGCACTCAGAATAGTCCCTGGTGCACAATACATGCTCCTACAAATGCTGGCTACTCATAGTAGTACTCTGTATTATGGTAGCTGGCCACATGGCCGGAATCACTAGGTATTTATGGAATAAAGTCTGGCTGAATTTACAACATGTGTAGACCTATGGAAACATCCTATTAGCAAAGTGCTATGAGAAAGGCAAATTTGGAAGTGACAGCAAACAAGCTATTTTGAGAAGCTAAATTATATCCATACCTGGCTAATGCAGCAAGATTCCCAAGGGTATAAAACACTGCAAAAAGCTTTACGCCTCCAGGAAGCCACAGCAATCCAGTTCCCTGAGTCAGACATTACAATAAGGTAAAAATGATTTTATAATCTTAAAGGCTTAAAATGTAAGTGTTACTACAGTAATACAGTAGCAACACTGTATTATATAACATAATGTTTAAATAGAAATGAGTCCAGTTACATAGTAAAAACAGTTAATTTTCAATGATATACATTAAATTGAATCCTCTGCCTATTTTCCTAAACATATATAAATAAGCCAGAAGAAAACTGTCTTTGTATTTGTTCAGTAAATCTTATGCTATTTAAAGTAAACATCCATTTTAAATGGCCAGTTAAAAAAGGTAATAAAGTCGGGCACAGTGGTTCACCCCTGTAATCCCAACAGCTCAGGAGTCTGAGGCAGGAGGATTGTGAGTTCAAACCAGCCTCAGCATTGGTGAGGCGCTAAGCAACTCAGTGAGATGCTGTCTCTAAATCAAATACAAAAAAGGGTTGGGGATGTGGCTCAGTGGTTGAGTGCCCCTGAGTTCAATCTCCGGTACCAAAAAAAAAAAAAAAGTAATAAACATATCTAAATTTTTGACTTTCCAGTTCTCTTAACTCGTGTTGATTTTTCTTTTGTTTTCTTATCAGAGCTGGGGATTGAACCTGGGCCTCTCGCATGTGAGGCATGATTTTTCTTAAAATTATTTCAATAATTCTTAGAACTCCCCGAACTACTGATTTCTGCATCTTTTTATTAATCTCTATCCCTTTATTTCAGGTGACTATGCTCCATCAAAACAGTCTTAACTGGAATTCAGATAAAGCAGATTGCTTATTTGTACCAAATGGGATATTAATCTAATACAAAATAAAAATAATTAAGCAATATAAAGCCTTAACTCACAAGGATAGAAAAGAAAATGCCAGCCACAAAGCATATGATAAACCATTTCAATCTGGTGTTGAAACTAAGAGACGAGGCATCCAGGACCTAAGGGAAGAAGGGACAATTGAGAACATGTTCTTAAATCACCATGCACTAAACTGATTATTCTAACTTATAGCAATGTTTTACCTTAACACATACACTGAACCTTTGATTTCTTTTGTACATTGTAGTGTCACTACCACGGTGGTGGAGGACATATGAACATGGTCTGTATCAGGTGACACCGAGGAATAACGTAATTTTGCCAGATTTGGTAGTAGTAGTTAGTACAGCCCTTACCTGTTCAGGCCCATAGATGATACTGATCTGGATAAAATGACATCATGTGTGAGGTATGTTGTGACACACTTGAGGATGTAAAGTGGGAAAGATAAGACAAAGCAGGCAACAGGTGGTAACTGAAGCTGGGTGGGGCACACAGGGTTCATCCTACATTCCCTCAACTTCTGCAGGTCTTAAAGCCTGGGATGGGATGCTCCTACAAGAACTGTTCTCAGCAGAATCCTTTAAGAGGAATGAGGGAGGCTGCAAGGGAAGCAGAAGGTACCAAAAAAGGCAGTGTTTCAGCTGGAGGTCCGCCTGGGCCCTGGTGATGAGTGGCAAGAGTGAAGGGCTGCCTAAGGCAGGCTGGCGCTCTGCAACCCCTCCCCAGTGGGTGACTGCAAGACTTACAGGGGGCAGCAGCAAAGGACACTGCAGGGCCTGAGCAGGACGCCTGGGCAGGCACCAGTACCTCTGGACAACATCCACTCTCAAAAAGCTCTCAAGAGCCTTAGATACCTCTTCCACCATGAAAAGACTAGCTACATGCCATGCAAATTCTAACCCAATTATGTAGGAAGAAGCAGAAGCATACTTTGAACAGTACAGTGATGACCTAGTGAATTTAGACTACCAAGGCACTATTAAAACTTATCTTCCCAGTGAATATGAACAACTGTCAACAGTCTTTTTTTTTTTTTTTCTTTTTAGAGAGAGAGAGAGAGAGAGAATTTTTTTAATATTTATTTTTTAGTTCTTGGCGGACACGTCTTTGTTTGTATGTGGTGCTAAGGATCGAACCCGGGCCGCACGCATGCCAGGCGAGCACGCTAACAGTCTTGAATTAAATCCCCAAATTTAAATTTCTAACTTACATTATTATAACACTTAAAAATAAGACCATATGCTTATAATGTATTTTCAAGAATAATGAAACGAAATCAGGAAGTTTATATACAACAGCTCACAATACGTTTGGTTACAGCCTTACCTCAGTAGTCAAGCTGAGAATCCACATGCAGCATGAAAATCAGACAAAATACTAAGTACTATGTCAATATCACACAAATCACTTTTAACATTTTTTTTTAAAGTTTGCTTTAACTCATAAACATTTTCAGCAATGTCATAGCCAAACAAATTACCTGGTTTTAGATAATGAATGAACTTGTCTACGAGAACATCTAAATTTCATTCTGATCAGAAAAAACATATACCAAGTACATTTTAACTACCTAGAACAGAATACAACCTAAAGCCTTCACACTATTTAATTTTTAAAAAATGTTTCATTTTAAAAAAATTAGAAACATTCATAGTTTCATTCTATCATTCCACAATATATGTATACATATATCAAAATATCATGGTGCACACCATAAATATACACAACTTTTATGTCAATTAAAAAGTGGAAATAGTACACTGATCATGATTACTAATGACGTGAAACTACAATGATGTCAGGATTTAAGTGGAAAAGAAAAAACATTCATTTAACTTTCCTTTGCAAACTTAAGTCACCCCATTGTTTCCATGTTCAACGGTTCATTTTTCCATTTATTTTTCCTGCAGTAGTGGAATGGCATGGCTAATTGTACAATAGGTCTTTTGCCTATCATTGCCATCTTTTATGTGATGATCTTTAAAATGAAAATAAAGATAAATTATTTCCATTTGTAAATACAGAATAATCAAATTCATAAGCAAATGACTTGTGTTCCAGGTACAGGAAAAAAAAACACCACAGATTTCCTGACTCTTAAGTAAGAAAATTCTACAATGCTTCAACATGCAAGAAAACCTGGCTCTGCATTTCTAAGTAAGAGAAAGAGCCACCCCCTCCTTTGTTTTGCATAAGATCTATGTGCTATTTTCTTCTTTGACCTTGTTGGGAAACAATGGGATGAGGAACTATCCCACTAAAGCAGCAACTTTGGTGCTCACTTAGTCTTAGGACAAAAATACAAACTCTTTAAAACTGCTATCCCCCTCCCCTTCAATTGCCACCAATTATTTTACTTGTCACCAACAGAAGAGGAAGCAAAGAGAAAGGGCCTCAAGAGTAAGGGCCCCTCTCCCCATTCTCAGGGCCTTCTTCCTGCTGCAGTAAACAAAGTACTGCCTGCAACCAAACTGCACTTAATAAAAGAAAAAGAAAACCAGTCAGGAAACAAGAGAGGAAAACATACTAGGGATGCTCATTTGTAGCCAGCAACAGCAGAGCTAAGCCACTGCATGGCTGGGGGTGCTAGTGGGTCTGGGGCTGGTTCCCAGCTACTGCCATGGAAGAAAGGAAATGTGCTGTGGCTTTCAATTCCTACACCAAACCCAGTATTCCTACCTATCCTTTTTCAAAATAATGATGTCAAAAGAAAAAAAAAAAAAAAAAGATCAGAAAGCAAAGCAAATGAGCAGAAGTGTCTAAGACCCTCTGGAATGGGGTCCACACCACACCTCCTTGGGGTCCTGCTCCTTAAGGCCATTCCAAGCAGTACTGCCCACTAGTTACTCAAGCTCACAAGCTCAAGAGCCGCCCTCACCCTCTTAATTGGTCACCTCTGCTCTTCTTATCTCATTCAGTCCTATTCTGATCCTTGTGATGTATCCATGTGAACAGCCTGGTCTTTTTGTTTCCCTAACCTATAGTGGCCTCCCCCACCCTCCCCAACTCCTCGCACTTCCCACTCCCAGGGCTCACTTCCTACCTGAAATCCCTTCCTACTGCACTGCCAAAATCCAGTATGTAGCTTTAATGATAAAACTTCTCCCAGCAGCAAGTTGACTCAATAGCTACCACTTGGGCTGGTCCTCGGCCTTGGGGGAGCCCTTATCAGGTCCTTGGACTTCACCTTTTTCAGTGGAAATTACACGTTGCTCTGGTTCCCAGGTCAGGTCTTCTCCTATTAGCTCTGGTGGTCCTGCCCACCTGTTTTAGGACCCAGTCCTTCAGACACTCTCCAAAATTAACATTAATGGGGTTTTTCTCTAGTATACCATCCTAAGACCATGACCACCTACTTTTAAACATGCTTAAGCCTCTTCTATCTTAAACATACAAAATCTCTCCTGATGTCACCCTCCGCCCTCTGCACACTCATTCATGTGCTCACCTACTGGTTTAAAGAATGGATACTGAGTGCTGCTACTTGTTCTAAGTACTGGGCAAGGGCACTAGCACCTAGACCTATATGGTCTCATCTCCACTTCAGCAGCACCAGACCCTCAACACTCCCCTGGGGGCCAGGCTCTGCAGCTCATCCTATGGCACTGCCTTCAAATGTCCAGTGTTCCTGTATCCCCTCCCTCTGCAGTCTCAGCTTCCTCTCCCCAGAAGGGAAGAGCTTCTTCCTGATCCTGTCCTCACCTTCTTTCCTCTCCCCCTAACCACCTCCTCAAGATCCACAAGGAACAGCAAGTACAACAGGTAAGGGAATTCTGAAGATACAGAGGGCATATCAACTCAAACTCAGCCTTGCCTGCTCACACCAGGCAGGCAGTCCACTGCACATGGACCTAGCAGGAACTCACCCACCACCTGGGTGCAATGCAGACCCAAAGACCAGTCCCCAAGACTGCCTCTCAGATGCCAATTGTTTGTTGTTTTCCTTGCACTTCTGACCGACTGCCTAAAACCCCCTCCTCAGGTTCCATGATTCCTCTAAAGCAGCTCTTGGAACTCAGGGAGACACTTGCTTACCTTCGCTCGTTCATTATGAAGGATGTCATATAGGATTCAGGGGAGAGAAAGGCACTGGGCGAGGTAAGGGGCATGGAGCCTCCAGGGTCAACTGGGGCTTACACCCTCTGGGAGCCTCTCTGTGTTCAGTTAGCTCAGAGCCCTGTCCTTCACTGCATAGGTAGATGACATCTCTGGCCACTGGTGATTGACAACCTTCAACTCTGCTGGATGGCTGGAGGACAAGACTAATAGTTCCAAATCCTCTAATCCTGCCTTGGTCTTTCAGGGAATCAGCTCCCATCCTGAAGCTACCTGTAGGCCGACTCACTGGCATACAGAAAAACGCTATTGCATCAGAGATTCCAAGGATTTTAGGAGTTGTATGCCAAGAAGCAGGAGGAAGACCAAATACATATTCCACAATATGAGAGCAGATGTTATACTTCCAACCCTGTGATAAAAGGAAAGAGAGCTTAATTTGTACAATAGGTTGTTTTTTTCTTATTACCATCTTCCATGTGATGAACTTTTAAGTGAAACATTAAGACAAATTACTTCCACTTGTAAATACAGTCGATCCACAAGCGACTTGTCTCAAAACTTGTGAGTTCCTGTGTTCCTCCAAAATCCATGTGTTATAACCCTAAACACCAAGGTGATAAAGGAAGGAGGTAGAATCTTTGAGAGGTGATAAGGTCATGGGAACAGAGCCCCAGAGAGCTCCCTGGTCCCTCTCAACCAAAAGACACAGCAAGAAAGTATATCTACAAATCAGAAAGCAGCTCTCACCAAACACAGGATTACTGGTACCTTTGTATTAGACTTCTGGCCTCCAGAACTGTGAGAAATATACTTTTGTTGTCTATAAGCCACCTAGCTAAAGTATCTTATTAGAACAACCAGAAGAGACTGAGATACCTTGCAACTTATTAAAGTTGGGGTGAATAAAAGACCTGTGGAGCTCATTCCCTTGTGAGATCCTTCCTATGTGACTAACAACAGATGCTCTTCTCCCAGCAGCTGTTCAAGTCCAACCTCTCAGCACTCACCTGTCTGGCCCGCAAGTCTTGAGAACAGATACTGCGTAGCAAATACTTGATAGGCTCTGGATGTACAACAGTAGACAGGACAGACAAGACCTTACGTTTCAATGACAAAAAGCCAACAACAAATCAAAGGTAGTGACAGAAGTGGGCAGGTTACATAGAGGAAGCACAGGGGTAATGAGTACCGCAACCAGGAAGGGCCTCTCTGAAGACACAGGAGCAAGGAATACAATCTTGAAAAGAGCCAGGCTGGGGCACTTCAGAGAAAAAGAAATGCCACTGCCAGAAAAGAGGCTTGGCCTGAGGGCACATGGCTGGAACACGGTGAGCCCTGGGGACATAAAGGAGGAGGGTGGAAGCCAGGCAGGGCAGCTCTGAGAGGCCATGGGAGAGTCTGGATTTACTTCAATGGTGTCCTACCGTGAGGACACACAATGGGATCCTCTTAAGACAGGACTTACAGGCCTCTCCCTTCTTGAATTCTTCCAGACATCTCATAAGGAAGGCCCAGAACTCTGGCTACTTGGCATCTCCCAAGGACTCAAGCCACCTCAGCAGGATGAAACAGCCCAGGCTTCTGAACACCTCACAACACCCACTGCCTCACCCAGCTTCTCGGCTGGCAGAGGGCCACCCCCATCCCAGGGCTATTACATCACGTCCCCAACAAGACATAAGGATAGGTAAAAAGCAGACATGTAGGACAAAACAAGAGTGGGCCATGATTCAAAGCCTACTTTCACATGGATTAAAAGTCCAGATTTAAAGGTCATTTTCCCAAACTTCGATCACAAACAGCACTATTAAGTCAATTATTAGACCTTAGCCACAAATCCATAAATAACTTCTTTCCTCACCTGGACCTAAAAGAAAATCAGGTCAGAGAATGCCTCTGTTCAACAAATTCTCATGATTTGTATTTTTAGGGTCTAATTACTTCATCTATGTCACACTCTCCAGTAAACTCTTGGTGTCACACCAACATAGTACTGTTTAAGCTCACAAAGCAGAACACTGAACCCTGGTGGAGAAATGATTCACAATTTCCACCAAAAACAAAGAAGAACAGAAAGTGGCCCTTAGTGGGTAATGGTCAACATGTCCAGTCACCAACACAAATGAGGATTAACATGCCCTCTTAAGTCACATCTCTGCACTATAATATTATGTGCATAAATGTGCCTTGCTAAACTGCAGCCAGCACCTTCCTCTGGGTGGGCACTGTTTTCTTTTTCTCAATAAAATCAATCTGTGCCTCACTTTGTCCCAAACTTAAATTCTTTACTGCAACAATATTAAGGATCCTCACAGCCTAAGATGAGGTCCACTTCCTTTTAGGGAACCTCCTTGGAACCCCAGTCCTGGTGACACAATGAGCTTATTCTTCCACCACCAAATCTCATATCTATTACTAGCAAGCACACCATGAACACAGTAGTCTCTAACCTCAAGTTCAAGTACCCCATTTTCTGGACATCACTCCTTCCTTCCAGCACCTCTAGTCAGCCACCCACCAACATCCACAGTCCAAGGGTCTACCACCTTCCCTCCATCCCAACTCCCTATGCCCTGTTGGTCTCCCAGTCAGTCCCCATGTGTATTCACCAGACAAATCTGAACCCTGTCCTGCACTTCCACTGCAAATGTGGCTGGAGAGAAAATGCTCACCTTGCCAACTCTCACTTTCAGTTTAGGACCACTACCAGCAGGTGAGGATGAGGAACTACAAGTCTACTGTGATTCCCTATGGACTCACTACTCCCAGTCTTCTGAACCACTACTTTATACCTCTTCCTTAGACTTCTAAGACCCACCTCCTCCAGACTCATGGCTGGGAACCTTATTTCCTATTTCAGTGAGAACAGCTCAGGAATCACTGAAGAACTCACCTGCTCCACCTACCACATCTGCATCTGCGTCTGCATCTGCTTCCAGCAGCTTGCACAATTCTCTTCCCACTGCCCATCTAATCCTACGCTTCCCAATCACTGCCACACGCCCAGGAGGCACCCTGAAAAGGTACTGTGTTGCCTGAATCATAATTTTCTCCTTTCCTGGATCGCATGCAAGTCTGCAGAAACATCCAGTATTTTCCAGCTTTAAAAATAAAATGTTGGGAGGCTGGGGCAGGAGGATTGCAAGTTCAAAACCATCCTTAGAACTTAAGTGAGACTTTGTCTCAAAATAAAAAATAATAAGGGGTGGGGCTCAGTGTTTAGGTATCCCTGGGTTCAATCACCAGTACCAAAAAAATAAATAAAATAAAATGTTGGGTCTAGGGATATAGGTAAGCAGTCTAACAACATTTGTCTAACAGACCCTGGGTTCTATATCCAGCACTGCAAAAAAAGATGACCATATTTTATCATCCCACCACTATCTACTTCTTTGCCTTACAGCAAAATCACTGAGATACTGTAGTCATCATCTCTTTCTTTCTTCCCTCCCGAGCCATAACCACCAAAACCAATGACCTCCATTGATAATCTCAGCTCTTAAGGGATCCATTGTAGCATATGAAACCCTCTCTTCCCCCCCTTCCTAGGATGTCTCTCTAGGTTGGTTCTCCTTCCTCACCTGTTATCGCCTGCTCACCCCCTTACCTTACACACCAGAGATATCCAGAGATGTCTCAAACCTTAGACTCAACTTTTTTCTACTTACACCCAACCCTTTTGCAAGTTCGTCTCTCTTATTTCCTCCTTATGACTCCAGAAATTTACCTTCAAATGCTTTCCTGTCATCTCCACTTCATGTTTCCTGGCACTTCAGACAGCATCTATGCTGAAGTGATTTTCTTCCCTGAATCTGCTCCTTCCCCATCCCAGTTAAAGTTGCCTCCATCTTTCCAGTCACTCAATTCAAAACCACAGAGGCAGGCTTGACTCCTGTTGCTCTCACATTCAATCTAAATATTGTAACTCTACACTCAAGACATTTACAGAGTCTGCCCATTTTCACCACTGTCATTTTTATTATGGATTCAAGCAACCCAGTGAGCCATCTCTTACTGGGACTACTTCCTACATTAGTCTCCTGACTAGCCTCTGGGTTTCCACCTATATTCTACAGTCAGTTCTCCACAGAGCAATGAGAAATATCCTTTAAATCCACTGGGTACTTTGTCACTCTGCTCAAAACCAAAAGCCATCCATCCCACACTTAGTAAAGCTCAATCTTTTCTACAGTGTAGGAGACACAACAGGTTTGGCAATCCCATTCCTGCCATTACCTCCTATGCCTGTCTCTTTCCCTCTGCTCCAGTCACCCCGTCTTAGCCTAGAATCTGAGGAACACACAAGGTTCTCTGGGACCCTTCTTCATGACTCTCCCAGAGGCCTGCAGCTCTACACTCACATGCCACCCCCACAGGGAAGCCTCCTCCAAGACCCTACACAATATGCAATCCCTCACTCCTAGACCTGCTGAATATTTCTTCAGCACTTAGTGCTGCCTGATGCATTATGCATTTGCTTATTAAATGTTCCCCAATTAAAACGTGTGGGAAAGGCCTTTGTGTTGGTCACTGCTAACTAGCATCTTGAACAGTGCCAAGCAAAGCTGGGAACTTGAAGATTTGTTGAATGAACAACATTAGTCAACACAAATCTCTACACATCTTGCTCAACTCCAGATAGTAGCCTCAAGAGAAAGGACAATATCAATTTCATGTCCCCAAGGTTCTCAGCAGCACTGTGCAACAGACCTTCCTGGAGTGGAAATGTGGTAAACATGCACTGCCCATACAGTGTCCACACGTGCCTACTGAACACTTGAAATATAAGTTCAATATAGGGCAGTGCGACTACGGAACTAAATTATAAATTTTATTAAATTTTAATTAACTTAAATCTAAGTGGCCACGCATGGCTCTCTATGGCCACTCTCAAGTGTGGAACAAACAGCATAACGTAGAGCACAGAATAGGGGCTGTCACTTCTGATGTTGTCATCTACGGGGCTCCTGCAGTCCTCTTAAGAGTCACCGAGGGCAGAGGCTGGACAGTCTCCGTAGGCTTGCGGGCTGGCCCGGAACCCTGTCCCCGAGAAGCGCTGAACAAACGCGACAAGGAGCCAAGAGCGCCCAGGAGACCAGCGGAAGGCCCCAGCGGCAGCCGGCCTCGGAGTTCCGCTCGCGGGGCCCAGGCGGCGCCCGCCCGAGCGCGTCCGCGCAGCCCCACCGCACCTCTCAACTCGGGGAAGCCGCGCTTACCAGGCTCGCCCAGCCTCCCGGGGACCGTGCAGACACAGGGCCGCTCGTCCTTTAAGAGGCCTTCGCTAGACCTCAGGCCGCGGCAGACGACTCCGCTCGTCGGGACCCGTCCTCCTCCAGGCTCCCGAGCCCGGCAGGCCCGGACCGCAGAGCGCGCGGGCCCCGGCGGCCCCGGCCAGCACGGCCGCCCCACGCCCCCCTCGCCCTCCTCGCCGCGGCCGGGCGCGCTTGCTACCTGCGCGGTCAGGCCCTGCTCCTCGTCGTCCTGGCCACTCAGGACGCGCCGCAACTTCTCCATGGCCCAGTCTGCGAGCCGCAGACCCTGCCGCTCGCGCCCACCCGGAAACTCGGAACCCAGTCCCCTCCACCCACGCGCCGACCGGAAGTCCGGCTTGGCGCTTCCGGCGCGCCCATGAGGCCACCGTAGCTAGCTGTGCGCTCACGCGCGTCGGCGCCCCGCCCACCCCGCGCGCTCGGGCTGGGTGCACCCAGCAGCTGCACGACCCCTTCGAGGGCCAGGTCCGCGCGGCACGGCCCGCCCCGCTGCTGCGCGGCCGGCTGGTCTGGAGGCCGACGCCGGCGCTGCAGGATTCCGGCAGGTTTCGCACTGTCGGGACGTCGCAGCAGGCGGCTGTTCCCCCCGCCCGCGAGAGCCGTGCTGGTCTCCGCGAGGCCGCCCGCCCTCCGGGCTGCAGGGGCACTGCGGGCCCCGCAGCGAGCTCCCGCCGCCCTCCGTCCGGCCTGGCGACGACACTAGCGGACGGGGAGGTGGCATTCCCTCCCTCCCTCCACCTGGCCGAGAAAGGTCACAGAGGTTCGAGGGAAGGTTGGACCTTTCCATCGACGCCTCCCCACCGTCACCGATAGGTTCTGCTCCTCCGATTGCTTGTCGATTTGTTAACATGGCTGAAAAAGCCTGGTTTAACTTCTCACCCACTTTCCCCTTGGCTGAAATCTGATCCTTAAAAGGGGGCCCCCCCGAAAGACGTTCGTGTCCATCCTGTTGCCTCCAGGAGAGATTGTATCTGATAAAAGCAGAGCTAGAAGACCCCTAGAGAATCAGGTCCTATACTTCCTGTGACAAAACAGCCCAGGGACAAAATATTTGTCCTATTTATAGTAAAGTGTGAAGTTTTATCTTTTTATCCCTTAAAAGATCAGAAAGTGGGTGATAATTTGGAAAATAAACCTCTATACTTCTATTTAAGAAAGTATAGTCACAGGCAATGGTATGTGCTTGTAATATCTATGATTTAGGAGGTTGAGACAGGAGAAACTTGAAGTTCTCCTGAAAGCTCAAGGCCTACTCAGCAACTTAGCAAGGCCCAGTCTCAAAATTTAAAAAAATAAAAGTCTCGGGATGGAGCTAAGTGGTCCAATGTCCCTGGGTTCAATCCCCAGTACCACCAAGATAAATAAAGAAGAAAAAGGAAGCATAGAATACATGAATAAGTACTTTAAAGATTCTAGTTTCCCTTATGAAAATGATGAAATAAAGTAATGAAAAAGTTTTTCCAAGAATTATATGACGTTGAAACATGAAATTGCCAATGATCAACTAAAATAGTTGAAACTAAAAAGGGCAACATCATATGGTCAATCTACTTGGGTAAAAACTTTTATACCCAAGTATTATTGAAGCTTTAAGAATGTTGTGGGATTTTTTTTTTTTTTTTACTTTTACACCCTATATAAAAGCATATAGTTTCCTTAAAAACACTCCGTAAGTTTGCTGAGACAAGACCCTTATAGAGATGACATAAAGGTTTATGGTAGAATGAATCGGTCATAACTTTCGTATGTTCATATATGAATACATGACCAGTGAAACGCCACATCATGTATAACCACAAGAATGGGCTCCTAATTATAATAAGTTATACTCCATGTATATATGTCAAAATATACTGTCATGTATAGCTAAAACAAACAAAACGAATGGGCTCTGGCATTAAACTGAGGGTTAGAATCCTTACTCTATCTACCCTTTTGTAATAGCAGGGTTAAGGACAAGGCAAACTAAATTTGTTTCATTTTCTGATATGTGACAATCAACATGTTTCCTACCTTTCCGGTTTTATGAGAATTAAATGAAATATGCAATTTGATTCTCATCATTCACAGGTTCTGTATTTGCAAACACACAAACCCACTAAAGTTTGTAGCCCCCAAGTCAGTGGATACTTGTAGTATAATCAAGGTCATTCAGAGACTTGGACAGAGGACTGAAATTTTTAAGCAACCAAAAGTGCACATTCCTGCCTTCTTGATTCAGCTCATACTGTAAATGCGTCCCTATCAGCCTCATAAGTGCCAAGTTTTTAATATTTTTGTTCTTTTTTTGTTGTTGAATATTTCACTGTTTAAGATGGTTCTAGGCACAGTGCTGAAATGGCAAATAAGTTCCTTAAGCCCAAGGCTGTGCTGAGAAGATACAGGACCTGGGGCCTGATGGGACCCCCATGGACCATCCCACACCCAAGTGACCTTGGTTAAAGGGCTTGCTCCCAGAGGACTTCTTTGTTATATGCCAACCTTTCTCCAATGGTGGAATGTTCAGCCTTTTGAAATAAATGTAATGTGGAACCTTGATTGCCACAGTTTTAAATTTCCTGATCCCATCTCTAAGATTTCATGTTGTTCTTGGTCAAAAACATTGAATATGTCAGTGTGTCACTCTTCTGTGACCTTTTAAATAGAATGTTACATTTGAAATTGAGTCTCTGGTTAGAAATGTATAAAATGTGTATGACCCATGAGTTTGGGATAAAAACAGTATTTAGCCATTGGTCTTTTATTCTTGCAGCTGTCTCGGTTGCTTCTCTGGATGTGATATCAAATCCTGGTACACAAATCCTGGTACAAACAGTAGCACAATGGCTATTCTTCCTTGAAGCCAAAGGCCCCAGAAGACCTTGTGAATGAACATTGTCCATTTCCTTGTCAGGGCCATAGTCACCTGATGTAGGAGCTGACCAGTGGGAACCAAGGCCCACCCTGACAGAGAATTAAGGGCTCAGTCAAGGCATGAGGGAGAAAGGAGAATTTAGAAATACCTTTTGAAAGGAATATGATTGATGAGAAGAGATGCAACAGAGCTGCAGAGCAGCACCGCTCATTAGGTATGCTTTCTCTTCCAGAGAACTTATTTCCTTTCCTTTACATGTTTTGCTGTTTCTGCTGTTGATGCTTCCTTGAAGCAAAGTGCACTGCTCTGATGGCAGAGACCAAAAAGTGGTACCATGACTGTGCACCTGCAGTGAGGGAAGGGAGTGTTGTTGCCAACCCTGCTTGCAGTCATGGACATGAAGATGATAAAGAGGCAGCCCCTTCCCCAAGGGAGGGCAGACATATAGGCAGATAGATTGCACGGGGTTTGAGAGGTTGGAAAGACCCAATGGATGCAAGACACAGAGATGGCCAGGATAAACTCGACTGACCCTGCAGTCGGATCCGGTAGCTGGCCTTCCTCTCGTTCTCCACCTGCGGCCACAGGTAACTTAAAATGGAAAGCTGTTTCTCTTGGTCCTGTGCCTCTTGTCCTGTGTTTAAAAACCTTCCACAGTTCCCTCTATCTGTAGAGTAGAGGCGACAGTCTTGGCATCATATGATGGAGGTGGTAATGATGTGGTCCATCTTCTTTCCCCAGCACATGCATATGTACACAGTGTGGAAACTCCCGCTCAGCTGGACCACCCTGCTCAGTCTGCGAAGCCAGGTTCACCAACTAGACTTTGTACACACACCAGCTCTCATTGTGTGGAATCTTGCTCTCCAAAATGTCTTGTTCCTCTCCACCCAAATTCCATGCTTCCTGCCTTCACTGATTCCCACTTGAAATGCCTCTTGTTGCTGCAGGTGACCTTCTTGGACCTCTTCAGGCACAGTGAGGTGTCTTCTAGAGGGCTGGTGACATCTGGAAAGAGACAATGAATATTCAAATGATAAAAATAAAGCAGGTATTTTCTCTGCCTTGGGTGCTTTTCTCCATTACTGAAGAAATACCTAGCAGTTTTGCCATGTGCCAATTCATAAGCAGCGATGCTCCTGAGCTGAGCTCTTTTTCTGAGCATATAAACTATTGAATGATAATGGGTTAAATGTTTTCCCAAGGATTTGCTCTTACATTTTGTTGCTATACATCAATCCAAAGAATGACATAAAAATGATTTTTTATGTGGTCTGTTGGTCTTTTTCTTTTCTGGGAAAACCAGGCATGATCAGCTGGAGTCTCCTGACACTCCACTCACTTCTCTAGGACATGTTGGGGTGTCTACTTGTTGGCAGCAGGTCTACCCTGGCCCCTGGAGCCCAACCTCCACTAGTTTGTTCTGCATGCCAGTGTGGCCAGCTCACAAGGCCATGGCGAACTTGCGGTTTTTCTGTTCTTGCTTGTCCGTCTGAGACATATGTATCCCACGGGAATGCCTTGACCTTTTCTGGTCTGATGGACTTCTTGTTAAGGGAGGTTTCGGTACCTGACAATAATAGATGTTGAAACTAAATTTCTCCCCCCTCCCTCCTGCTTTTGGGTAGTTTTCCACTTCTGCTGCTTGGGGTATAAAAAAAGTGTGTTAGCAATAAAGGGTATTGACTCCTGGATGAAGAACCTTGGTGTCCTGTGTGTCTTTTAACCTCGCCGTCCCTCGCCTGACTCGGCTCCCTTGGCCGGACGCGGCATCTACTGTCATACCCCAAACCCCATTGCACTTACCTCAAAAAAATCTGCTTGGAGAGGCTCACTAAGACTTGTGGCCATTCTTCAGTTACAGTGGTAGACACAATCTCTGCCATCTGTGGCCACCCCTGGGACCTCCTGTTAAGGTGTGGGATGGTGACAGATGTCCATTCTGCCATTAGAGACCTCTGTTGTCCTTGTAGGAACTTTGTTCCACTCCGTCCTGTAATCCCAGGCCTTGACACAGGCCCAGAGATGATGAGCTGTGGCAGCCCAGTGCCACATGTGTATCCTCCAGGGAGGGGTGTGGAGACATTCTGCTCCAGAGAGGACCATTCCATGCACTCAGTGCTGAAGTGCAGAGAAGCCATGAGGCCACTACTGGCCTCCTCACATTCCTTAGTAATTGGTGTGATGTGGTTTTTCAGGCTACCTCCACCTGACATTCATTAGTGGCGGGGTTAGTGTTTGCTGTTCTAAAGTGTCTTGCTTCTTTTATTTCTGAGTCATGAGGTGTTCTTGTTCTTTCCTGGCTTGGTCTTTATGTGATGAGTACTGCCCGAAGGTGGCTCTTGCTACCTCAGCGACTGAATTCCAGTGTGCTTGCCATGACATATATCACATGTAATGTGTGATTAGGGTGGGCTTCTGCTGCTATTGCGGACATATACATGTCCTGTGACAACACATCCTTTTCCTACA